TCAGTTTCTGGACACCGAATGATGTTGAACACAGATTCCATCTCTTTAATCCAGTACATAGCTTTCACTGGATCTCTCTCCCTAGAAAAGTTTGGTGGTTTACATGCCAAAAACATCTTAATATCCCCTTCCTTGTTATGGGTGACTGGAACAGAGGGATGAACTTCCACTCTTTCCGTTTCCACCCTAGCCGGTATTCCCATGATAGATGTCAGAGTTTCCCGCAACTTCCCCATTTCCTATGCCAACATATCCTTGGTTATATATTCAGGATGTGGCACCGATCTCTCCTGAACATTCCCAGAGTGGGATTCTTCATGTTCAAAATGTATTTCGGTCCGACCCCTTCCATGAGACTGACTTCTTCCTCTGCCTCGTCCTCTTACTCTTCCCCGACCTCTATTTCCGGATGTGCTAGTTGGAAGATTAACAGGTGATTCTTCCCTTTCTTCAGACTCTGGACGAGCCGTTCTTTCAGATCTTCTAGTTCGGCTAGACATCTGCAGAGTTTAATGTTAATAATCACGTATTCACATTCCCAAATATAATGAAGTATTCAAGTTCAGATGTGTACATGTAAATTCATAATTACACTAGCCAGATTTAATTAAAATTAACCTTACACACTGTTCTTTCAACCCATCATATTTATTTCCAATGGTGCTAACTACGTCCGGGACCCTTAATATGCAATAAAACAGTTTAAGTCTAGGTATCATGTTGTTAAATACCTAAATCCCTTAAACTCAGGCTCTGATACCACTTTCTATAACGCCTCAAAACACACATTGCATGTAATACATATTTCATACAAAAGAAATACATGATATTATCCCATTCAGGTCCCTTAGTACAAGAATCTAACATGACCAAATACAAGGTCCAAAAATTCAAAATACATTTCTTGTACTAATCAATCAAAACTGTACATCAAGGACAGATCTTCATGCAGAAATGCATATAGGAAAATATTACATTTTCCCCTTTCCCTTACCGTTTGCACCTCCTGCAATACATAGTTAAAATCAGAAAACGAGGGTTAGACCGAAAGGTCTAGTGAGTTACCCTTTTATGTTATTGCAGGGTGAAAATCACCAAAATCTTTATGAAAAACAATTATTCATATATATAACAAATATATATAAACGAATAGGGACATAATACCAGATCCTTTCCACTTTTTAAGTAAAGCATTCAACTATACAATTCTCATACCTTTGAACCAATTTGGTTCCATATAATGCCACTTTTAAACCTTTTCTAACCAAACAAGGTTTATATATAAAGTTTCAGCACGCCTGATATTTTCTCCTCAATAACATCCAGACTATGATTTCCAATAAGAACTTTGATCCTAAATCTTTAAATCACAAAGAAATAAAGATTCTAGACCACGGTAGTCTTAAGGGATATAATAGAAAGAGTTATATCATATAACACACATACAAATGTCACTCTTATATCAAATGTACACCTCTCCTTGATATGCCACCCTTATCCCATAGTACACATCTCCTTGATATGCCACCCTTATCCCATGGTAC